GACATTTGGGCAATATGAACTCAGAGGACAAAAAAAATAAAAACACTTTAAGCCTGAGTTAAAAGATCATAATCACACCACTCAAGTCAGAGGAATGTCACGAGTATTTCTTTTTCATTTTGGCCTTTAAACATGCTGATAGAAATGGACTTAACAAGAGTCAGCTGGTAAAATTAACAACTCAAACAATAGATGTTGGTGAAGATGCGGACAAAGGGGAACCCTTTTGCACTGCTGGTAGGAATGCAAACTGGTGCAGCCACTCTGGAAAACAGTTTGGAGGTCCCTCAAAAAAGTAAAAATAGATGGGGCGCCTGGGTGGCTTAGTTGGTTAAGCGTCCGACTTTCGCTTAGGTCATGATCTCACGGTTCGTGGGTTCGGGCCCCGCGTCGGGCTCTGTGCTGACTGCCAGCTCAGAGCCTGGAGCCTGTTTCAGTCTGTGATTCCCTCTCTCTCTGACCCTCCCCTGCTCACGCTGTCTCTCTCTCTCTCCTAGAAATGAATAAAACATTAAAAAAAAAAAAATTTAAAAAAAAAAAAAAAAGTAAAAATAGAACTACGCTATGACCCAGCAATTGTACTACTAGGTATTTATTCAAAAGATACAAGTGTGCTGTTTCATAGGGGCACATGCACCCCAATGTTTATAGCAGTGCTATCAACAATAGCCAAAGTAGAAAGAGCCCAAATGTTCATTGATGGATGAATGGATAAAGAAGATGTGGTATAAAGATACAATGGAATATTACATGGTGATAAAAAAGAATGAAACCTTGTCATTTAAAATAACACGGATGGAACTAGAGTGTATTATGCTAAGCAAAATCAGTCAGTCGGAGAAAGACAAGTATCATATAATTTCACTCATGTGGAATTTAAAAAACAAAACAGATGAACATCGGGGAAAGGAAGGAAAAATAAGATAACATAGAAGGAAGCAAACTGTAAAAGACTCTTAAATACAGAGAACAAACTGAGAGTTGATGGAGGGAGGAGAGTGGGGGGAGGGGTAAAGGGGTGATGGGCATTAAGGAGGACGATAGTTGGGATGAGCACTAGATGTCATATGTAAGTGATGAATCACTAAATTCTACTCCTGAAATCATTATTACACTATATGTTAACTAACTTGGATTTAAATTAAAAATTAAAATAAACAAAATAAAATAATCTAAACTTTTGGAAGGGAATAAAAAGAGTCAGCTGGGACTTTTCATGATTTGAGTTTACAAATTTTGAAGCTGAACCTGATAATTAGAACAAAATTTTACAATATTACTTTTCATATACGTTTACCAAGGTTTAAGCCAAATCAAGGGGCCTCAAAAAATACACAAATCTCCCATAAAGCATAAGCTGGTTCAACTGTTCTAAGAAATGCAGATTTGTGGCATGTGTCTCAAGTCTTCAACATGTGCACACACCTACCCTAGGGGTCTATTCTAAGGAAATAATCATAGCGTAAATAAAGATTAAGAGGCAAAGATATCCAGGCACCTGGGTGGCTCAGCTGGTTGAGTGTCTGACTTTGGCTCAGGTCATTATCTCATAGTTTGTGCATTCAAGCCCTGCATCAGGCTCTGTGCTGAAAGGTCAGAGCCTGGAGCCTGCTTCAGATTCTGTCTCCTCTTCTCTCTGCCCCTCCCTCACTCATGCTCTGTCTCTTTCTCTCTCTCAAACAATAATAAATGTTAAAAAAAAATTTTTTTAAGAGGCAAAGATATCCATCATAGTATTACTTATACCAGCAAAATATTAGAAAGAATCAGAATTTCTAACCAAAAAGGAAATGGATTTTCGACTCGGATATATATGATGGAATCTTACAAAGCCACAGTGAAATGATGATGTTAATGTGATTTTACTGATGTGAAAATATACTAACCATATGCCACTGGTTTGATTAAGCAAATTTTCACTGAGCACCTACTGCACGGAAGATCCAGGTAGGCAGTGGGGAAACAGCACTGAATTAAGGTAGAGTTCTTAACTGACTGACTAGAGTAATCAGATACTGAGGAAGTAATGAGATAAGCAGTGATACTAAAGACAAGTATGACATTTGGTATCACAAGAGTAAATAACAAAAGAATTTAACCTAATGCAAAGGGATCATGGGGAAAGCCTACCTGAGGAAGTGTTGCTTAAGCAGTAATGAAAGATGAATGGGAGTTAGGCAGGCAAAGAGGCAGGGGGAAGAACATCCCAGGAAGATGAACTGTAATTTTTTAAAGTATACATATTACATCAACTTTGTATACACAAAATGACTCGTTTATATTAAAATTTTATTTTGGTGGGTTCTTAAATTTCTTTTTTTTTTTTTTTTTTTTTAGAGAGAGAGAGACAGCACAAACAAGGAAGAGGGACAGAGGGAGAGTGAGAATCTCAAGCAGGCTTCATGTTCAGCACAGAGCTGGACGTGGGGCTCGATCCCACAACCCCAGGTTCATGACCTGAGCCAAAATCAGGAGTCAAATGCTCAAGTGACTGAGGCACCAGCACCCCTATATTAAAACTTTATTTTGTATCTGTATATATTTATAAATATAAAATCTGAAAGGATATAAACTATAATCTTATCTAGATGACATATTACATGAAATTTTTTTCTGCTTGTCCACATTCTCTATTTTTTTCTGCAATAAACATATATGAATAGTGTTTGAATAGGTAGATGGGTGAGTGGGTGGGAAGATAGACAGATATGGCTGGCTGGATGGATGGAAGGATGGACAGTAACCAGATTCAACAGAAGACTTGAGCTGGGCATCACATTAGACTTTTCTTCTTGATTTTTTCCTCCCTTCAATGGCTAGAATCCAAGATCTACTCCAGAAGCATTCAGATTATGTTTCTAAAATCACCTTGTTCTTGCTGAGGAACTTCCACTACTCCAGAGGTAATTTTATTAGCAACAAGTAGAGGCAACATTACAATTCATCACAATTCCACACAGATTTCCTCTCTTAACATTGGACTTTCCAAACCACACACACACAAGAGAACATGACTAGCAGAGCTACTTAGCAAAGCTGCAACCAAATAACTATTGCAAACAAAATGAATTATTATTTTAAAAAATTTTTAAACATTTATTCTATTTTTGAGAGACAAGACTGCAAGTAGGGGATGCGTAGAGAGAGAGGAAGACACAGAAGCTGAAGTGGGCTCCAGGCTCTGAGCTGTCAGCACTGAGCCTGACACAGGGCTCTAACTCACAAACCGTGAGATCATGACCTGAGCCGAAGTCAGATGCTTAACCGACTGAGGCACCCAGGCCCCCTATTTAAAAAAAAAAAAAAAAAATGGATGAACGAGAGAGGTAAATAAAGGCATAAAAACCTAGTTCAAACTACAGTTTAAAACTACTCCAAAGAGCATGCGGCTTAAAACTTCCAGGTAGTGAAATTCACTCGTTTTCACAGCTACATTTTCCAGGGTGCTAATTTCTGACCCAAGGCTCAGAGTGATGGAAGAGTGGCTTGATCTGCTTACCTGAGGCACAGCTCCTTCACACGATAAGTCAAGGAGAGATCATGTTGTGAGGAACTTTCAACACACAAGTGCTAAGTCATCCCCAACTAGAACCATTCTTGCCCAGGAAAGGCCACATACTGTATTAGGAGAAGGGTAAGAGCCTACTCAGCAAAAAAAGGATGCCTGCATTCAACCATTCTTAGCAAGCCCACTTTCATTCTTTTTAAGCTTCATTTATTTACTGTCTCCTAAATATCACACCCTGTGGTTGGCTCTGAGGATGCAGCAGTGACAAGACATGGCCCTCAAATGTCCAAAGCTCATAATCAACTGTGGAGACACTTCATTCATTCATTTAAAAAACATTTGACTCTGGTTGTGTACCAGGTGCTTAGGATATGATAGCAAAAGGGTCCAACAAGAAGACTTTCGTCTTCAAGAGTCTAGTAAGGAGAGACAGGTTAAAAAAACAAACCACATCAACAACCAACAACAGGATTTTCAGATAGGGATAAACATTAGGAGAAAAATATGTACTCAAGTTATGGGACAGAAAGGGACTGAGTGGGGAACCATGGCACGGGTGCTCAGAGGCGGTCCCTCTGAGGAGACACGTGAGCTGTAATCTGCAGGATGAGAGGCACCATTACATATGAGGTCACAGCACAGCACTGCAGATGCCAGGAAACAAACAGGAACACAGAGTGATATTGACCACCCTCACAAGCCGCACTGAGTACTTGGGGAACATGGAGAAGGGACACCTGACCCAGCCTGAGGGTCTCAGGAGTCCCAGTTAGTCTTCAGTCAGCAGGGGAGGTACTGTGAGTGACTATAGACAGGAAGCTCTGAGGGTTTCAAGGATTCAGTCTCACATGGGAAATGGTTGGGTAGGGTTACTGGGAACGTACAGAAAACAGGAACCCTCTAGAAAGTTGGTAAAGGTGCCAGATGGTGAAAATTCCTGTCTTACTCTCCCCTCCAAGCCCCGCCATCACTTCTCCCAAATCTCTTACACCCTCCTGTAAAGTCTCAAGGAGGTTTGTAGATCTTGCCTGGTAGGAATGGTCAGAGAAGGACAAGCTGGTCCAGCAATGGGCCGGGTATCAAGAAGCTAAGCTCCACTCATTTATTATGTGGTCTTGGGCAAGTCTCTCCCTTTTTGTCAGCCTCAGTGTTTCCTATCTGCAAAGTGAAAGATCAGAGGCCTGGGGATAAGCCCAAGAGCCTATACTTCCAAAAGCTCCCCTACATGATTATGATGCATGCTGAAGTGTGAGAAGCTAATCAACTCTATGGTTCTACCTTATTTGTCCTCATAGTAGACAAGGGGCTGCATGCCTGGCTGGTTCCATCAAGTCGTCCATGGTGCAAAACATAGCATCTGATATACTGAAGCTCCTTACAGTGAGTGACTTGGCATTCTCTCTCCTCCCTCCCCTCATGCTACCACCCAAAATATTCTCTCAGTGGGGCTGGAGCCCCATAATCATGGGTCATTGTTAGCCCCTTGCCGTACCTGTGAACATCGCACAGAAGTAGGGGCTGCAGGCTGCCAGGACCACTCGGTGGGCTTCTATCTCGACATCTTCTGCCACAATCATCACGTCACACAACAGCTGTTTACTGTAAAACACCAGTGAAGGGACACCATGGGTCACAGCACCAACACCCAACCCCAGGCACACAAGGATATGTTTTCTCCCACCCAGATTCCACGGCAAGGGGATGAACTATCGACTCTTCCAAGTCCCTGATAAGCTGGGCATTCATGCTTTCCTAAGGTGCAAAGAGAGACCCAGCTACTCTGGAGTTGCAAATTCAGGGCTCTTTTATTTGTCTTCACATCTCTGCTCCTCAGCTCCCTCAGCTCCTTCAGCTCTGACTGAAACAGAGGGACAGCAACTCAGAGAGCAATGGGAAAATCCTAGGGCTGTCAGTCAAGGGACTGAGTGAATGTCAAGGAGCATGAGCATGCCACTGAGATGTGCCACCAGAGAAAAGAACCAGTAACAATTACACAAGGGACCTAATACCTATGAAACACTGGTAAGAGGCCAGCCAGTTCAGGAAGACTCAAATATTAATTTTCCCACGCAGATTTAACATTATCACCAAGAAGGCTGCTCACTAAAGACCCTGTGCAAGCTCCAGTCACTATAATTATTAAGGATACTGTAACTACCTTACAAACTAACTACTTGTTTGTCATCCCCACTACACTGTGAGGTATGAAAGGAACTTATTTACTGTTATATCCTAAATACCTGGCTGAAAGTCTAGCCTAATGAAAGCCCTAAATTTTTACTGAAATAGATAAATAGTTTCAATAAACTTTGAAATAGACCACACTCATAGACCCTACGGGCTACTTTGAAGGACAGAAAGGATGCCACAAGTTGTCAATCCAAGAATTTTTCCTCCACCAGCCTTCTGATACTTATCACTTATTGAGTTATATACGCTAGGCACTGTTCTAAGCACTTTTTTTTTAATACATATTACTTCATTCAATCCTCTCTAAAACCCCACAAGGTATGGTTATTACTATGTTCTATATTACAAAAAAGGAAACTGAGGTCCACAGAAGTAACTTTTTCAAAGATAACACAAAAATGGAGTGGTGGAAAAAGGATTTTTCCCATCTTCCAGAACCCATCTTCCTAAAGTCTATGGCATCCTGGTCACCACTAATCCCTAGATGTGGGAGGGAAGACAGGACAAACACATGTCAACCATGATCCACTGGCAGTAATTACTCAGCACACAATACTGGATTGATAAGTCTGAATCATGACTGGGATCCAGTTGATAGGGATGAGGTGAATAGAATGAGTCTGCCATTGGGGTGCCTGGGCGGCTCAGTCGGTTGAGCGTCCGACTTCAGCTTAAGTCATGATCTCACAGTTCATGGTTTCGTGCCCAACGTGGGGCTCTGTGCTGACAGCTCAGAGCTTGGAGCCTGCTTCGGATTCTGTATTTCACTCTGTCTCTCTGCTCCTCCCCTGCTCATACTCTGTCTCTCTATCAAATATAAACAAAGATTTAAAAAAATTTTTTTTTTAATATTTTTTATTTATTTCTAGGAGAGAGAGAGAGAGACAGACAGCATGAGCAGGGGAGGGTCAGAGAGAGAGGGAGATACAGACTCTGAAATAGGCTTCAGGCTCTGAGCTGGCAGTCAGCACAGAGCCCGACGCGGGGCTCGAACCCACGAACCGCGAGATCATGACCTAAGCGAAAGTCGGACGCTTAACCGACTAAGCCACCCAGGCGCCCCTAAAAAAATTTTTTTAATGAGTCTACCACGATTGATCAATGGGAGATAAGCTACCTATTTGCCATCCCTGGTGTGACATATTAAACCTTTGCCAATTATTTAGACATTAGTCCAGGACTGCCTATCAGAGAAAATAGAATCATAAAGCCTGAGAAGACTGGAGCTGTAAGTGCCCTTCATCTAGTCTGTGAACCTGAGAGAGGTGGTCCAAAGCCACAAAAGGGTGAGTCTTGAATCTAGTTCTGACTCTGGATTTGGTACCATAAGGCCCCATTATTGGCTCACACTTAGAAAAAAAAAATTAGAAGATTAGTTAGCCCCAATACTAAAAGGTGATGAGGAAAGTTTCAGCCTATGGAAAAAAGTCCCTGTGAGGGGGCTTCAGGGAAGAGAGACACCTCTGAGTGCCAAGAGGCAAAACCTGGGAATGGGCCCTCATGCTACAGTGGACATCAGACCCTGCGGACAAATTTTATCAGAATAAGCCCGCTCAGCTGGAAAGAGAACTGGCTCAGCACCTAACTGGCTATGAGAACATGGACAAAGGATCTTACCAGTTTTCTCATCTTTCTAAGCTACCTCAGGACATCTATCATGGCGGCCAAATGAGATTACAGATACCACCTGAGAATAGGCTAGTTTTTAATTTGGACAAAATGGATTGTAAAAACGTAGTCACAACCTCAACAGACTCATCTTGGACATTTTCACTTCGCTTTCATTAACTACTTTAGGGAGAAAATGGAGTTATCACTACTCTTTAAAAGTGCAAGTAATTTATCAACTATACTTCAATTAAAAAGAACTGACCAAAAAAGTACAATTTTGTTGTTGTTTTTGTAACCAGTATTTTAATAAGGAAAGCAAAACAGATGGGTCAGAAATGCTGAGCAAATGCTGAGCCAGGTACTGAAAAAGGCAAATGTCAGAATGGGGTATTTTGCTGAAACCCAGAGGAGCTGATAGTTCAGGAACAAAAGGAAAGAGACAAGAAGGAATGAGGTTTAAAGGTGGAGAATCCAGTTAAGCAAATGCATGAGAACAGTTCTGATGGGCTGGAAATGTATCTCAAGGCTAGAGGAATCTGGGAAGGTGACCAAGAGAAACTCGTCCAAAACTCAATGTAGGCTTTCCCTGGGAATGGTAAAGCCTGTCTGCACACCAAAGACATCTCTGTGTATCCATTCTGTATAGAAAAGAGAACCAGCAGCTCTAAAGCACTGCATGGCTCACAAGCATTTCTAATTCCATTTACTAGAAATCCTATAGGATTCTTTTTTTCTGAGCTGTCACACACAACTCCAAAGAACAACCTTAAGAAAAGAAAAATAGGGCTATACGCTTTTGATAGCTATTAGGAAGGAGCTCAGGGTCTAGAATCAAATGGACCAGGGTTCATGGCCCCTGGGTATCAGAAATCAGATGTGTTGTAAACAAGATAAAGAATAGTGCTAATAGTAAATATTCAGTAAATGTTAATATTTCCTTCTTTTTCCCATAAAACATTTCATTTAGGAGTAGCAGTTAAGTTAACCTTGCTAAGGTTAAATGTGAGCTGCATATCAGACATCTACATGGGTTTTATCAAGTAGGCAAATGTATTCATAAGTCTTAATTTCAAAGATGGGAGATGGTTAAGAGGTTGGAAGGGAGAGAAAGAGCCAGCTAAAGAAACAAGAAAGTAACCAGTGAAACAGGAGGAAAACCCAAAAATTATGGTGTCTGAGAAGCATAGTGAAGAGACGGTTACAAAAAGTAGGGAATGACCAACTATACCAAATAAGTAAGATAATTAGGGTGGCTAGGTAGGGCAAGTAGGCAAGTGAAATAGAAAATGAAAATGAAATAGAATATGAAAATGAAAGACATGCAAATTGAAAAGGAAGAAATAAAACAATATTCACAGATAACATGATCTTGTATATAGAAAATCCTCTAAGAAATCCACTAAAAATATATTAAAACAAATAAATGAGTTTAAGAAGGTTGCAGGGGTGCCTGGGTGGCTCAGTTGGTTGAGCATTCGATTTGTGATTTCAACTCAAGCTCTGTCCTGAACATGGAGCCTTCTTAAGATTCTCTCTCTCCCTCTGCCCTTCTCCCAGCTTGTGTGCTCACGCGCTCTCTCTCGCTCTAACTCTCTCTCGCTCTCAAATAATAAAAAAAGAAGGTTGTAAAATACAAGATCCACATACAAATCAACTGTATTTCTATACACATGCAACGAACAACCAAAAAATGGTATTTATCAAATGATATCATGTATCATTTGATGCCAAAATAGCATCAAAAATAATAAATATTAAATAATAAATTTAACAAAAGAAGCGTGCAATCTATCCTCTAAAACTATAAAACTCAGTGTTCATGGATTGAAAGACTTAATATTGTTAAGGTGGCAATACTCCCCCAGGGGCGCCTGAGTGGCTCACTCGGCTGAGCATCCAACTTCAGCTCAGGTCATGATCTCACGATTTCACAGTTCATGAGTTTAAGCCCCGCATCAGGCTCACTGCTGTCAGTGCAGAGCCCACTTCAGATCCTCTGTCCCCTCTCTCTCTTTCCCTCCCACTTTTCAAAAATAAAAGCAAATAAACATTTTTTTTTTAAAGATGGCAATACTCCCCCAAATTGTTCCACATATTCAACTCAATTTCTATCAAACTCTCAGAAGGCTTCTTTGCAGAAACTGACAAGTTGAAACTAAAATTCATATGGAAATGCAAGGGACTTAGAATGGCCAAAACAATCTTGAAAAAGAAGAATAAGGTGAAAGACTCATGGTCCCCAGTTTCAAAACTTCCTACAAAGCTAAAGCACAGCAGAATAATAATATAAGCATAGATATATAGATCAATAGAATAGAATTGAGAATCCAGAAATATATCCTCACATTCACAGTCAATTCATTAAAAAGAAACTTTTTATCATTTATTTTTTAAATGTTTTTTATTGATGTACAGCTGACATATAATATTATATTAGCTTTAGGAGTACAATATAGTGATTTGGCAATTCAATATTCCACAATTCTCACCATGATAAGGGTAGCTACCATCTGGCACCATACTGTGTTATTATAATATTATTGATGTTATTCCCTATGCTGTACCTTTCATCTCCATGATTTATTTATTTTATAAACAGAAGTTTGTACCTCTTAATTCCCTTTTTCTATTTTGTCCATTCCACCCTTCTACTCTGGCAACCACCAGTTTGGTCTCTGAATTTACAAGTCTGTGTCTGTATTTTTGTTTGTTCATCAATGGTTGGGTTTGTTTGTTTGTTTGTTTGTTTAGATTCCACATATATGTGAAATTATATGGTGTTTCTCTTTCTCTGTCAG